AATGATTCGGAAGTGCTTCGTGTGCTGCTTCTGTGCAGCAGATGCTGTGCATTAATTGGCCTGTGCAGGACTGACCCAGGCTTCCTTATAGCAGGCCCAATACTAGGCGCAGAGTTTAAATAGCTTATTTATTATTTTGGGGAAGCTGGCAAACATGGTGTATGTTCTTGTATGTGCTGTATTTCATGGTCTGCTGTTCCAATGTCAGGAGAGTTTCCAGCCCTGGTAATGTATTAGCAGCAGGTCAGCTCTAAATAGCATCCATCAGAAGCCTTTTTCCCCTCCCCCTTAAGCCCCCGGTCCAGATATACCAATGACTGATGAACCTGTCTTTTGTATGAATGTTTAGCACAGTAGAAAGCCATATGCCACTGGCACGGTTTCCTGTTCAGGCTTTCCAGTGGCTAGAGAGTAACAGGGTGGGGTGTGGGGGGGGGGGAGAGTCTCTTGCTTTTGCATCCTGTCATTTATAAGCAGTTCGCGTTTTGGAAAACAGCTCCAGATTTTGCGAGCGTGTGCATCTCATTGAAGCTGCAAAACGTAAGATTTGAGGTTACCTAAAGGCAATTTGACTCCCCCCCCCTCATTGTGTTCTTTAGGCAGGATATTAGGGCTTGTCCTTAATAGGAAATCTTGTTTTGTAACTCCCCGTCTGTTCTAAGCAGACCTCACCCCATTAGAAGGTCCTCCCTTGTGTGGGAGGACCACAGCTGTTACCGTAAATCTCATCCAGTAACTGTATAACCCCCCATTTTGTGGTTCTGAAGGATGAAATTGAGAAATGGAATACGGTGCACTCATCCTTTACCTCTCCAATTTTAGACCCGTGCACATCATTTTCATGCTTTTATTCCAAATCAAACTACATTAGTGAGCAACACCACTCTCGGCTCAATGGGTAGCATCAAAGACCCCCTTTTTTACATTGCTGATATTTTATTTTATTTCTTTCCTAAAGGGTGGATGACTTAGTCGTCTCAAAAAATCTGGGCTGCTTCTTCAAGATTTTGTAGCTGATTCAAAAGAGAGAAAAAGATGAAGTATTTTAAAATGGAATTTCCCCAAAGCAAACAAAGCTACCGCTTAAATGTTACAAAAGGAAAATAGAAAGCTTGCAGTCTGACTTAAGAGGTTTCCATTTCTTTAAACCTTTGTGAAAGAAGTGGATCTATCTCGTTATGATGGAATATGGGGGCTTTAATAGAAATAAATGGATGAAATCATTAGCACAACAAAGCAAATGATAAGCTTGAAGATAAAAGTCTCTGGGGAAAGAGTTCTCTGAAAATAAATAGGACTTGATAGATTTCCATATCATTTATAACTTCCCTTAATTACACTTGGAAGACTTGCCAGTAAAACTGGAAAATTGGCAGCCTATATCCATTATAGCAATTTTGCCAACCATGGCAAGCAGCTGGCTTTACTGGATTTTATTTCCCATCACTCACAATTAATCATCAGCTGAAACTCTTCAAAACATAGCAATACTGTGTGACATTTGGGGCTCCTTAAAATGCTAAAATCTGCTGAGTAAATGGGCCGAGGTTTCTATCCTTCAAGCTAGCTCCTTTTGGTGCGAGGCAGACCGCTGCTTAATGAATGCCACTTTGATAATCAGAGGCGAATGTGAACCTTGACCTGGTGTCAGAGGAGAGGATGCAGCAAGCTGGGCGAAAGATACGAGAGTCAGATCTCCAAACTTTACACCAATTAGACAGAGTGGAGAAATACATCAGGGCCGATTGGTTTTATCAAAAAGACTTGCAAGGCTTGTGACTGTTTTGTAAGCCTAACATTGAAGATACCCTGTCACAATAATTAAGTCTTGATGACTCACAGAAGTATTAGGGAAGTGGGCTAGGTTCACAAAAATCGGTCTGAGACCTCATTGTACCTCTAAATGTCCATAGAAAAACCATTAGCAATCTTTTGTTATTATTTTTTTGTGCACCAGTTTCGATAAACTATTTATTCAAGAAGCCCTGACATATTTTAATTTTCTTTGCATAAGCTTCAAGGCTGTACAAATCCTCAGTTTAAGCCCACATTTTGGTTTCAGTTGCTATAATGAACAGCTATAATTTAAAAATGAAATTTGAAGAATTGAGGCAAGACACCATTGAATCTGATGTTATACTTCATTTTAGAATGAAATGTTAAATATTATTTTTCACATTTATCTTTAATCCCTGCACTTTTGATTCTGTTTCTTCCAAATGAAAAAATATATTTGAAACATAATTTGCATTTTTTTTCCTTTTTAGAAATCAGAGAGTTTAAAACTGAAATTGGTATTGGTGAATAAATTTTTTGGGTTGTACTTGATAAATCCCTTTCCCCATTTCAAACCTTCATTAAAACCACTGATATATAAAAACACATTTTAATCACAAGTGGAATTAATTAATACAAATTATACCATTCGATATGATTTGTATATATGTGTACTTTTATGCTAGCTCAATCTCTTTGGAAAAGTTACTGGGTTTTAAAAGCTGAACTTAATCCTTAAATGATGAAAGAGGATATTTTAAAGATCTCTTAAGATATTCATTTTCCGGCTTAAATAATACAGGCAGGCAAAAAGATACACACAATTATGCAGTGAAAGAAACTGAACAAAGCCCTAGAGAATGAATGAAGTAGGAAATTGTGAGATATTGGGGACTAATTTTAGGATTTGCTGTTTTGCAACACAGTAGGAAGAAAAGACTATAAAGGATTGACATAAAGAATAATTATTAAATGTGGTTGCTTTAAGTGACACTTTCCACTAAAGCCATTTTAGACAAATTAACTATTATTAGAAGTAAAGCCACAGTGTTTAAATATTGGGTATCTATGGAAATACAGTTTTTTCCTCCCTTAAGGTAAAAAGTTGAATAGGTGAGTTTATCTCCAAAGGCTTCCAACTATTATTTGCTCTTTTTCCAAATACAGATTTCTTTTAAAATTCTTCTTTATTTGAGAACTCCACCACAAAATTAAGAAGAGCTCAGTTTTAAAGGACATGATTTGATACACAAAAATAGGACTGCCTTCAAATATATTGTAAAAGGAACAGATTTGTCCTTATTTTTACCCACAACATAATTCACTCATGGAATAGAGGGTGTTAATTCAGTAGGAAGATCTGTATTGTCCTGCCCATATATTTATGTAATTCACACAGACCCTTTCAACCTTAAAGAAGGAAAGCATGCCTGTATTTATTTCCAGGGGAGATGGCTTATAGTGTAATATTCTGGCTTGGAAAACACATTGATTGGTCCTATTCAGAGGTCAATTTCACATATAACCAATTTTCTATTGGGATATCATGCTCATGTTGACCATTGTATGTAGCACCAATATGAGGTCAGTATTTACCTCATAGTAAATAAACAGTTTATAGTTTATAAGCATTTGATAAAAACTTATATGGTTTTCTAGTCATGTATATAGTGAAATCTGTGTGTGAACATACAGTTCACGTATGATAGTGTAGATGAAAAGATAGATAGCAAGGAAATAGATGGGAGGACCATGACCTGTTGTGTATAAAGCCTGGTAATTTGTATTACACTCCAGAGACTCAGCAAACTTCCAGGTGGAATTTATAGGGGGGTTTTTTGTAAGTAAAACAAACAATGGGAAAATCCTAAATATTAACCTGTGCCCATGTTGAACTATTTTAATACAGCATCTTCTCAACTGATAGATAATAGCTGGAGCCTTTTAGGTCACATGATTTTTCTTGCAAACTTGTTGGGAAGTCACAGAAGTAAAATGACTGAATACCCATGCCATTGTGTAAACAAAGCATCATTCTAGATTAGAAAATGATAGAGTTTTTTTTTAAAAAAAATACCCTTTACAAAGAGATGAATATTCAATGTGTGTACCATAAATTGATTTTAAGTATGACAGGAATATTATTTGTTAATATATTTCATTTTTTCCCCTTTAGGATGAGAATCAAAAAGAATCAGAACTGTAAATTTTAAACACAATTGAAAAATATAGTATCATAGCAGGACAACTGCAGATTATAAATATTAAATGTGTAAAAGGAAAGAAGGTACAAAAATAGTAAAAAACCTTCTTGAAAAATATAAACAATTTTGAGAAGTTTCTCTAAATTTTCCCTGTTTTAGACTGCTACATGCAGGAGAAACATTAAGCAGTATAAGCCCATACATGCCCATAAGTATAATTTGATATAGTGTAGCTCTGAATTTGATTTTCTGACTTTGTATAATATCTAGAATAATTTCAGTATTGATTGCCTTATATTCAGAGTTTATATTAAAGTTATTTCTTTATAATGTACAATTTTGTAATAGGAATTTTATCTAAGGCTATAGATGGTAGTTCTTCTGTACCATTTGTTTACTGTATATATGCATTAGGTGAAACTGATTATATTTCAATTTCTACTTATTTAAATAAGAATTTGGTCATGATTTGTTTATTAATTTCAATGAATTTTCCTGAAACATTATTAAACACAATAAGCATTAAATATTGGAAGGGAGGCTGTTTTTTTTTTATTACCCTAACCCTATTAATTTACCTGGTATTTGAGATCATTTTATGGAAGAACATTAAACCATTGCCGACAGTGTTTTGGAAGCAATGTTACAAAATCTCCAAGACAAACGGGAATGCTCTTTTGCTTTATATTCTCTCTTTCTGTTCCACATCCTCCATCCCCTTCAGAATTTTGTTGGTCCAGAGTGGATGGCCTGGTCCATGCTGTCTTCTTCAGAAGCAGTCGCTTTTGAAGAGAATATTAGAGAAAAATATTCTCATATTTCAGTCATGATATTTAATTGTTCTAAGGCAGGGGTCTCCAACCTTGGCAACTTGTGGACTTCAACTCCCAGACAGCTTTGCTGCCTGCTTTCCTCTACTAGCAGGGTCCAAACAGAATCGCTTTATTAATTTTCTGAAAGAATGAAACAGCTTGATGGCATTTTTTTTTTAACATCAGTGCTATCTATTGTTTTTATCAGGTTGCAGAAGGTCAAGAAATTTGCGTGATCGAAGCTATGAAAATGCAGAACAGTTTGGTTGCTTCTAAAACTGGCAAGGTATGTCTTAGTTACACTCCAGCGTCTTATAATACTCGGCAGGTTGAACATAACACTATTTAAAGAAAGCAAAATCTGGCATTACAGGGTCTTATACTCAGACTGTAGTGATATACCAGGACTTGGATTACCAAAATGTTTAATGTCACAATTTAATAGCGAAAGCATCGTTCCTGGAATGTTCCAGCTGGGTGACTTTGGGCCACTCATTCAGTCTCACTGCACGGAGTTGTTGTTGGGGGAAAACGGGAGTAGGAAACTGGGTTGGATATGTTCACTGCCTTGAGTTATTTGTAAAAATAATAAAGGTGGGATATAAATAAACAAATAAAATAATAAAAATAAAATAAAAACCACTACGGTTAGACCTTGATTTATGTCCATAACTGAGGCCAAAATTTCTGTCGCCAAGCAAAGCAATCGTTAAGTGAATTTTGCCCCATGTTACGGCCTTTTTCCCGCAGTTGTTAAGTGAACCATGTGGTCATTAAGCAAATCTGGCTTCCTCCATTGACTTTGCTTATCGAAAGACGGCTGGGAAGGTTACAAATGGTGATCACATGATCCCAGGACACTGCAACTTTCATAAATACATCCCAAATGCCCAACTTTGATCAAGTGACCATGGAGATGCTACCACAATCGTTAGTGAGCAAAATGGTCAGAAGTCCCTTTTTTTCAGTGCCGTTGCAACTTTGAACTGTCACTAAACAAAGGGTTGGAAGTCGAGGACTACCTGTATTACATGCGAGATCCCAGATGAGCTTTTCCCAACTTTCATTTTGGACGTGTCCCATTAGGTCTCACTTTTGCATAGCCACCTTTTATGTATTACGCACATGGGCAAATGTGCATTTATAGAACTGGAATAAGGCCTTTCCTTGCTTGCTACAACTGGACTAGCATATTTTGTTTGTGGTAGATTTATACCCTGACTTTTCTTCACAACCTCAAAACATTTCTGTTCATTCAGAACATTAAAATGAATATTTAAGCTTGTAAGAGGGACAGCGGTGTAAATTGATCTAATTAATAAATAATATAGCAGCATTATGTAATCTCGGGTACTGCTGTGAATTTAGAAAAACCACAAACGAAACAAAGAAAAGATGGAAAAGGCCATATGGACTATCCCATATAGCTTCTTGCATCCTGCTTTCTACAAGATGATTGAACTGATCAGAAAAAGGACGTTGACTTACCTGAACGTCCGTTCTGAGAGTGGAGAGGCCAGTGGTCACACGTGGGTTGATGACGCGATTCAGCCCAGATCGAGTCTGATAGTTGAAAGACTCCTCCTCCTGTTGCTGTCTCCCAGCTTTTGGACGAGAGATGATCAGACTGACGACGCTCCAGCTGAGCTGAAAGAAAGAGAGAAAAGTACACCGGGCGAAACGGACCGGCGGAAGGGTGGGGGTGACCACTGGCCTCTCCACTCTCAGAACGGACGTTCAGGTAAGTCAACGTCCTTTCTAAGCGAGGGAGAGGCCAGTGGTCACACGTGGGACATGCCAAAGCCCACCACTTAATGGGAGGGACCCGCCCGGGACGTGGAGACCCCCCCCCGCACATACTTGCTGGAGAACCCGGCGACCGAACGCCGCCTCCGCCGAAGCAAAGCTATCGATTTTATAATGGCGGATGAAGGGGGTTGGAGACGTCCAGGTGGTGGCCCGACATACTTCCAGAAGAGGGGCCTGGGTGGCCCAGGCCGCCGTGGTGGCTGCACTCCTGGTAGAGTGGGCAGTCAAGCGGCGAGGTGCCTGTAAGGATTGGGCCCCATAGGCGGTAGTAATCGTGGCCCTAATCCAGCGGCCTACTGTCTGAGGTGAGACTTTAAGTCCCAGAGTGGCAGGCTGGAACGATACCAAGAGGCTCTCCGAGCGACGGAAAGAGGAAGTCCGCCGAAGGTAGATTCGCAGAGCCCTGCGGACATCTAGTAAATGCCAAGTGCGTTCCTGGGGCCGGGAGGGATGAGGGCAAAAATCGGGCAGGATTAACTCCTGAGCCCGATGAAAGTGAGTGTTCACTTTAGGAAGGAAGGTGGGATCTAGACGGAGCACGACCCGGTCGGGGTGGAAGATGCAGAGGTCGGCCCGGGCCGAAAGAGCTGCCAGTTCGGATATTCGCCGAGCGGATGTGATGGCGACTAAAAATGATACTTTGTAGGAGAGGAAGCGTAATGGCACCGTCCTAAGGGGCTCGAATGGACCTTGAGTGAGTGCCGAGAGGACTTTGGGCAGATCCCAGGATGGGTAACGGTGAATGGGAGGCGGGCGGAGGTTTGTGGCACCCCGGAGAAAAAGGCGGATGAGGGGACGATCTGCTAGAGAATTCCGGGAACCAAAACACAAGATGGAAGACAGGGCGGCCACCTGCCTCCGTAAGGTGTTGGGGGCCAACCCCGCATCCAACCCTTGCTGGAGGAACATAAGTACCTGTTTCGTTGACGCCAAACCTGGGTCCTGGTTCCGCTTCGAACACCAGAGGGCGAAGGATCGCCATGTGGAGCCGTAGATCCGTCTCGTTGCGGGCCTCTGTGCCGCCAGAATGGTGGTGATGATATGGTCCGGCAAGTGGGATCCTCTCAGGAGGCGCCGCTCAACCTCCAGGCGGTTAGTTGAAGCCAGTGGACGTCCGGGTGTAGAATGGGGCCCTGACGGAGGATGACCTTCGCTGGTGGAAGACGCCACGGAGGAAGAATCGACAGCAGTTGGAGGTCGGCGAACCACGGGCGGCGGGGCCAGTGGGGCGCGATGAGGATCAGCTCCGCTCGTTCTGCTAAGAGTTTCCGGAGCACCTTGGGAAGAAGGGGGAGGGGGGGAAAGGCATAGAGGAGGCCCGGGGGCCAACAGCTGTGGAGGGCGTCCAACGCCTCCGCTCTCGGATCCGGATATCTGGAGAAGAAGCGGGGTGTCTGCCGGTTGTCGTAATTCGCAAATAGGTCCACCGTCGGATTCCCGAAGCGGGCCGTGATTTGTCGGAATAGGGCAGGGTCGAGCTGCCACTCGCCCTGGTCGACGAAGGAGCGGCTGAGCCAATCGGCTTGTATGTTGGCTTGTCCTGATATGTGGGAGGCCCGGAGGGACCTCAGGTGTGTCTCCGCCCAGGCTCCCAGGCTCTTGGCTTCCTCTAAGAGGTCGCGAGAGCGGGTTCCCCCTAGGCGGTTTACATGGGCCTTGGCGGCCACATTGTCCGTCCGGACAATGACATGACGATCCAGGATTTGTATCTGAAAGATGCGGAGAGCCAGATGGATGGCTCGGAGCTCTAGCCAATTGATGTTGTGGCCCTGGTCCTCCTGGGACCAGCGACCCTGGGCCATGGTGGATTGAAGGTGAGCTCCCCAGCCCTGAAGGCTGGCGTCTGTCGTTACGATGAGGGGATTGGACTCCCGAAATTCCCTCCCCTTGAGAAGTGCTGGGGACAACCACCAGTGCAGAGAATTTCGAACGAGGGGGGGGAAGGGATACCATCCGGCTGGTGGCCGATAAGCGGCGCTTCTGATACGGGAGAAGAAACCACTGCAGGTCCCTGCAGTGGAGACGGGCCCACGGAACGATTCCTATACAAGAAACCATCTTTCCCAGCAGTTGGGAGAGGGTCGCCAGAGAGACGGGCCGTCTCCGGGCGACCGACCTGACCAGAGACCGCAAGCTGATCAGGCGCTCCTGGGAAAGGTAGACCCTGCTCTCGACCGTATCGATGACAGCTCCCAGATGTTGAATGCGGGTCGTGGGTACCAGATGGCTCTTGGCATAATTGATCGAGAAGCCGTGAGCCGACAGGACCTGGAGGGTGGAGTCCACGTCCTGTTGCGCCATTACCTCCGAGCTCGACTGGATGAGGAGGTCGTCCAGGTAACATTGGATCCTGACCGGCCGAGCTCGGATGTGGGCCGCAAGGGCGGCCATCAATTTTGTGAACACTCGGGGAGCCGAGGAAAGGCCGAATGGAAGTGCGCGATACTGGTAATGCTGGCCCGCATGACAAAACCGCAGGAACTTGGAGTATGCCGGATGGATGGGAACGTGTAAGTACGCCTCTGTCAGATCTATCGACGAGAGGAGGTCCCCAACCCGGATGCCATCCAGAATGGATTGCAATGACTGCATTTTGAATCGTCGGTAGAGAACCCAACGATTCAAAATCTTGAGGTCTAGGATTGCTCTCCATCCCCCGGAAGACTTCTGCACGATGAACAGGCGAGAATAGAAGCCGTGTCCGCGCTGCTCCTGAGGTACCGGTTCGATGGCCCGAATTTCTAATAAATGCTGAATGGCCGATACCACCAGAAGTTGATGCGCCCGGTCCCGGGAGGGAGGGCATCGGAGAAATCTGTCCGGAGGGGTGGAGAGGAATTCCAGGGAGAGGCCCCACCTGACCGTCTCCCTGACCCAAGAGTCCGATGTTGTCGACTCCCATTGGCTGGCAAAGAGAGCCAGGCGGCCCCCAATGGGAGAGGAGGACCTGCAGTCAGCGGGACCTGCGGAAGGGACGCCCCCGGCTCCCTCTGAAGGAGCGTCTAAACTGGCCCCTCTGGACCTGGGGACCCTGGCGTTCCGGAGGACGGGAGCGGGGGGGAAAGAATCTCTGGTTTCTCGGGCCCGAGAACCCAGGTTCTGGGCCGCGAAAGGGACGAAAAGGAGCAGCCGGGCGGTGCTCCGAGCGCCGGGAAATGTTAGGTAAGATCCGCCTTTTGTCCCTGGTTTCAATTAAGAGGGGCTCGAGAGGAGCCCCGAAAAGGGAAGGTCCTGCAAAGGGGGATGATGCCAGACGCCATTTAGACTTGGCATCCGCCTGCCATTGGCGAAGCCAAAGCAGGCGACGGGAGGTAACCGAAGCCCCAATTGATTTAGCAGCAAACCGTGACGTATTTAATGTCGCATCTGCGGAATATTCCAGGGCGGCCAGGATTTTGCTAATGTCCTGCTGGGACCTGGAATCTGTTAGAGGGATCCGTTCCTTTAATTGGCGGAGCCACAGGATTGAGGCCCTATTAAAGAAAGATGAGGCCAAGGAGGATCTAACCGCCCAGGCGGAGGCCATGTGTGCTTTGACCAGAGAATGGTCAAGGCGCTTGTCCTCGGGGCGGAGGCTTTCCTCCGGTGGGGCTCCCGCATTGGAGGGGCTCGAAAGAGCCACCACAGGCGGGTCTACCGTTGGAACCTGCAAGAAGGACGTTAGGTCAGGGACTAAATTATACAGACGTCTGTCAAGTGAATTCGGGTTGGGGCCCGACGCGGGATTGGACCATTGGCGTTGGATTACGTCCTTGAAGAGCTTAGGACCTGGTATCTCTTCTATTTCAGAGATAGGCTCTTCGAATAGAGGAATCGAGGCCTCCGAGGATTGCCCTGGAGGCACAGGGTTACTGGGGAGACCCAAGCCAGTTGTGACCTTAGCCTTGTGGAGAAGCGATCTAAACAGTTGTGGCTTAAACAAGCCCACAAATGAAGGCTGGTCTGGGGCTAGGTCTTCATCTTCAGATAAGTCCTGTTCCCTAATGTCCTGATCTAAGAGGGAGGGATGTTCTGAGGGGACAGAAAGAGCTACCCCCCTTGTAGGATTAACGGACCCCGCATACTGGGATCCCTCAACGTCCACTTGAGAGGAATCAGATTCATCCACCCAGGAAGCGGTACGCTTCTGTAGCTCCAGTTGGACCCCTTTTTGAATGGCCTGGTGCAGAAAAGCCGCTAACTCCGGTGTTAGGACGGAAGCGGAGGGGGAATCCTTGACCGCATCTGAAGGATGGGAAGATGCTTCAGGGGGGTCCGGTGGGCCCGCCCCTTGCGGAGAAGAGACCGATGGAGCTCCAAAAAGGGCCTCCTGAACCTCAGCCCGTAAGGCCGGTACAGCAATGTTAGCATCAGGGGACAATTGGGGAATGGGGGTTCCAGGAGGAACCCTGTCTCCAGATGGGGTGGATGCTGTGGGTAGGGGGTCTGGGATTGGTGCTGGAGAAATCCCTGATTGAGGAGGGGCCTCCCTGAGAGAGGTTTCCCTGAGGGCCTTTTGTATCGAGCGCTCAATCGCCTCATGAAGGCGCTTTTCTTTTTTTGCTTTTTCTGCCTGGGCTTTAGCCTCCTTAGAGGCTTGGGTCCCTTTGGGCTTCTTTGGAGGAACCGCTGAAGAAGGCCCTGGTAAGGGCTCCTCGAGGGATGCCCTCTTCGTGGCCTTGGTGGAGCGGGAAGCCATTAAACCTGTTGAAAAATGCAGCAGAATACGATTAAAAATTTTTAAGGCCCAAGGGTGTTCAGCAAAATGGATGCCGTCTGTCTCGTGGGGCAGAGAGGCTGATGCAAAATGGCGGCCGCCTGCCTCGTGGAACAGTGAGGCTGTTACAATGGCGGCCGCCTGCCTCAGTAGGCTAAGGGCGCAAGCAGGCTTTAGCCACGGAGAAGCCAGGAGGGGTGAAAGACCCAACGTCTTATGTTTCTACCCTCCCCAAGGGTTCGCGCCCGCTTTGCCTTGCCTGAGGATATTGTCCCTCGAAGATCTGCGTTGGATCCTGTAGATCTGGCAAGGCAGGGCGCGTGGGGAGGAAAGCCCCAGGGGCGCCAAAAAGGCGTTGCGCTGAGGCGCTAACGCCGTCGCTCCGTCAGGAAAGGCAGGAGCTGGCAGGGATACAGTCAGCCGATGTCCGCAACCGCCGTCAGCTGGAAGGCGCCAAGATGTGGATTGCGCCGGCGGAGAGGCGGAGAAGTGACGGGCGGCAAGCTCAGCCAGGAACCTGCTACCAGCAACGCTGGGAGGTTCCGCAGCGGTCTCGGGCGTGAGCCGTTCGCACTGCTGAGGGGAGAGACTCAAAGGGAAGTCTCAATCCCCAATCGCTGAGCTGCTTCTGGGAGCGCCGGGCGCTGGCCGCTGGGCGCGAAGCCCTCGATTTTGCTCCCACTGTAACAGCTCTGGTATTGAAAAACTGTTTGAGAGGCTCAGTGGAGCGTCTGATCTGGTTCAGATCGAGTCTGAAAGCTGGGAGACAGCAACAGGAGGAGGAGTCTTTCAACTATCAGACTCGATCTGGGCTGAATCGCGTCATCAACCCACGTGTGACCACTGGCCTCTCCCTCGCTTAGAAATATATAGTGTTAAAGAACAAACATTCATTTATTGAGGCAGTATTTGAGTAGAAATGGAAACATGCAAAATGTACGTAACTTGTACATTTTGAGATCTTCCAAAAGACACTTTTTTTTAGGTATCAGTAATTTCATCTTTGTTTACAATCTTGATACGGAATTGACTATGTATGAGCTTAGGAACGTGTAGCCCATTTGCAAAGGATTTCGTGCAGGGCAATGCCACGAGTGATATAACCTCCAAATCTGTTCCTTGAGGAACTGAGGCTGTTGCATCTTCAAAAATGAAGAAAACCACTTCAAGGGCTTTCATACACACATAAATACATTCCCCCCCCCCTCTGGACACTTATATACAAAATACACTTTGCCTAGTCAAAGTAATTAGGCAAAGCCACTCCAATCATTGGCAGAGTCTAATTCTCTAGGTGTAACTAACTACAATTTAGAAATAAAAATGTGTTTAGAACCCATGTATTTTATTTTATTTTTTTTGTGCTGCAGGTGAAAGCGGTACACTGCAAAATCGGCGATACTGTTGGGGAAGGAGATGAACTTGTGGAATTGGAATAAATCATTTCTTTCTAAATTTACCACAGTCAGAGTAGCTTATTTTATGGTCAACCAGAAATTAAAATGAATGTTTATGAATGCAAAGGAGTTATGGAAACTCAACTATTGCTACACTTTTTTTTTTAATATTACAAAAAACCAAAAACAAAGTAAAAATGGAGTGAGTTGATTTAGGTGAGCTTTCACAATTTAAATTAACATTTCCCTGAAACTCGCACTTCACTACATTATAAATATTTGTACATATGAGATTTGTAATTCTTTTCATTAGATCTATTTACATGAACAAAATTAATAAAATCAAATTTTGGCTTATAAACTATGTGTGATGTTTAAAGCTTTTAAGATAAACTATTTTAAGATGTTCAAACTTTTTAAGTATATAATGCGATTGGCAATATTTTCTGACAATTTGTCAGTAAAAGTATATTAAAAATAATTAAGGTTTTCCTACACAATCTGAACTTTTGTGTACTGTGCTTGACTATATGTTGGTGTTATGAGACTAGTTGACAAGACTTCTATCCAACAAAGGACAAAATAGAGCTATTTTGATGCCTTTCAGATGTTACTAGATTCATACACTCAGATGAAGGATACAGATGAAATTTTTGATGGAGTAACTTATCAGAGACCAATTAAGATAGCAGATGTAAGGTACAAACACTCAAATTGCTGTTAATCAGATTTATTGCTAATGCATATACACAGGAGTCTAGTCAATTAACTAACAATCAGCACTAAATTGGCAGTAGATAAGAATTAAGGGAATTCAAGAGAGGCTGGACTTGGACTGCTTATGGGTATGTAGACTCCAGGTTAATTCCTCTCTTGACTCTGCTCCCAGGCTCTGCTTTTCCTTCCCTTACAGCAGATGAAGAAGCACTGTACTATTGTCCTCCGTTCTCAGTATATACTGCCACATTTTAAGAAAGTCTAGATTTATTTCAAATGGAAGAGACTACCTGTTTCAGGTCCTATAACTCTAGAACAGTGTCATTTTTAAAAATATCAAAATCCATGATTTCTGCAAATTTTGAACAAGTTATCTTATTTGAAACCAGTAGTAATATAAGAATTTTGTCAAATTTTAATTCACCACTATACAATTAACACTTTTAATTCATATTTATTTATTTATTTATTTTTAAATTTGTATACCGCCCTTCTCCCTGAGGACTCAGGGCGGTGAACAGCCAAGTAAAAACATAAACTACAAACATTAAAATACAATTAAATATATATATATAAATTTGGCCCCATGATTAAAAACAATAACAAACAATTAAAAACATTTTAAAAAGTGTTAGGCCAGCCCGGCTTGCTGGAAAAAGAAGGTTTTAAGGGCCCAGCGGAAGGCACCGAGGTCTTGGATTCTCCTTATCTCTGGGGGCAGCTGATTCCAGAGGGTAAAATTATGATATTATGAAGAAAAGCAGCATGTATGAAAATTATATACAGTATTGCAAGAAGTCAATGGCAAAAAAGAAATAGGTGCAATCACTGATATAAAAGCTTATGCACTGATGATAAAAATGCAAGAATACTGATGGTTCAGAACTTTCAACCAAAAATAAGCGATGCAGTTTTTAAATAACTGAAGAAGATATTAGGAGGCAATTTAGATATACTATAGTCAATAGCTGAGTAGAAATATTCATTAACCAGAAACGGGCTGTAAGGAATGAAAAAATAAGGCACAACAGTATCACTTTTGCCTCCTATTCCATTCATGTCCTCCCCCCATTTATTCATTTCACAATTTGGGAAGTGATAGGACTATCTGAATATTTGATAGCATTCTAACATAATTTAAATATTTAAATTACCCTGTTTAACCTTAGCAAGACAAATGCTTCATCTCATGAGTTCTGGCATTCGGATCATTCTTTCATCATCTTATTCACTTGGATGTTCACTTAATAACATAAATTAATTCAATTATATTCTAAAGAGCTAAATTAGGTCTGCATTTCAGCATAAAATAGTAGATTTTCTTCAGCACCTGGGTAGGTGTTCATAGCTAAAAATATTGTTTGATTTTCCACTTCTATTCCCTGCTTTCTCGCAAGACGTACGAAAGATTATGATTCCCAAAAGAATCGTAGTTATCATAGTAAGGGAGATGCATCCATTCTGGCTGATAGGTAGTAGTGCTAAACACATAACATTCCAGGATGTCTTTAATTGCTGATGCTCCTTCAGATGTGCTATTTTTATTTTCCCAGTCGAGTACCTCAACTCTCACTGGAGTACGCTGATACATGTTTGGACATCCTTCAAATTCATCAAGGAATTGCAACATCTGATCATCAACAAAATATATTTCTCCGGTAACACGGTGCCCTTTTCCTGGATTATTCAGCAAATAAGGGATATTATATTTGCCTGCAATCACCAGTGGGTATTTCTCCACTGTAAGTCCTCTGCCTTGGAATTGGGATGTCCCATGGGCCCCATTTATCATGTGTGGGTAGTTTGGCTGGCCTTTCTTTAGTGTCCCGTAGACAAAGACACGGAGCATTCTTCCAACTGAAGGGACTGAAAGAAAGCAAGAAAGCATTAATTTTTGCATTTTGCATTAGCAGGCTTTTCACATGTCTCTCTCGTCAGCAACAAATACACTTGTTTAAAACAAGACAACAGTATAAACTGCTGTTTCTCACATTTGTATTAACATTTGCAAAAATGTATCACTACAGAGAACGTAATGAATAGTTTATTGTTATGCATATTAGACAACTTCCTCGTAATAAGTTAGTTTCTTTATAAAGTTTTATTGTTTTTCCAATAAAGTTTTTCCACAACTGCACAAAAAAAAGTGATTCCAGTGCTTTCTGCACCTACAATTTGAGCTAATAAAGACCACTTCTCTCTCCATCCGATCAGGCAACTGGGCCCAGTTAAGAATGGTTTTAACACATTCCTCCAAAGAAGCCACTTATTATAAACAATTATTAAAGATCTTTAAATTTCTAATCTCTATAAATGTTCAGTAAAAGAATATTGACAACTCAGCAAAGATCAAGACAGTTTCAAGAACCTATGTCTGCAGAATCGTAACTTTGCCTGGTGGCTCAGCAAACTGATAGCATTGTGATTAACACCAGCTGTCTGCAATTACTGTAAGTACGAATCTCCCCAGGCTCAAGGTTGACTCAGCCTTCCATCCTTTCTAAGGTAGGTAAATTGAGGACCCAATTTGTGGGGGCAATAAACTGACTTTGTATAAATATACAAAAGTATGAAGGCTATTGCTTAGCGCACTGTAAGCCGCCCTGAGTCTCCGGAGAAGGGCAGCATATAAATCAAATAAATAAAATAATTAAATAGAACAAACAGAAGAAATTAAAAGGAAAAAAGCAAAATAACAAAAACAAATTGGATATAAGGGCTTTTCATACCTTTTTTAAAATAAAGTTCTACTTAACAGTTAAAATAAAGAATGAGCCAGTTTGGTCTAATAGGCAGCAGGCTAGAAAGCAGGAGACTGTGAGTTCAATTCCTACCTTAGGCATGAAAGCCAATTAGGTGACTTTGGGCCAGTTAGTCTCTCTCACCCCAATTCACATTAACTCTGAATAACAGAATTAGAAGGGACCTTGGAGGTCTTCTAGTCCAACCACCTGCTCAGGCAGGAGACCCTATCTACCATTTCAGACAAATGATTGTCCAATCTCTTCATTGGCCTGAAGCTTAGTAAGGCATCCATAGTCTTTTTAGAAGTCAAGTGACTTCACAATAGGCACATGAACAGGAGGGTCCATTAAGCAGTGAATAAAAAAACAGAATTTACAAGCTTCCCAGTTGGCATTTAACAAGCAAAACAGTAAAGGTTTACAGGGAATTACAGGTAATGTGTATTTCTTGTGGGGAAAATAGGCGGAGGAAGGAATAGTATGTACGTTTGCCATCTTATTTACAAAAAATAATTTAATTTAATTTAATATTTGAATTTACATACCGCCCTTCTCCCTAAGGACTCGGGGCAGTGAACAGCCAGAAGTAAAAAACATCAAATACAACATTTAAAAATAAATTAAACATTTTGGCCTGACAGTTAAAATCTCCCATTAAAAATCCAAATTAAAATACACAATTGTAGAGATTAGGCCAGCCTGACTTGATGAAATAAAAAGGTTTTGAGGGCCCGACGGAAAGTACGTAAGTCCGGAATCGTCCGTATCTCCGGGGGGAGCTCGTTCCAGAGGGCAGGTGCTCCCACAGAGAAAGCTCTCCCCCTTGGGGGCCGCCAGTCGGCATTGTTCATATCTTAAAAAGTAGATTATCTGATTGTAATCTCCAGACATAATTTATGTCTGTGAACAGTTTGCTCAGAGGTTGCAAGTCATATCAGATCTTCAGTCCACTGACCCTTTGAGACCATGAGCTGCTGTGGCACAGTGGTTAGAGTGCAGTACTGCAGGCTACTTTTACTGACTGCAATTTGCCAGTTCAAATCTCACCAGGCTCAAGATTGACTCAGCCTTCCATCCTTCTGAGGTGGGTAAAATGAGGAGCCAAATTGTTGGGGGCAATATGCTGACTCTGTAAACAGCTTAGAGTGGGTTGTAAAGCACTGTAAAGCAGTATATAAGTCTAAGTGCTATTGCTATTTCTCTTTTCAGTATTGAAGGATGAAGGGGCAGATAGACACACGGCTAGCTGTCTTTCTCTACACCTGAAAATACATGGAATAACAGGGCTCCATATACTTTTCACACACAAGTTTAAGGGATGTAACATCTGGTGGCCTCGAGGTGCATTTTCATCTTTAAGTGAAACAAGTTCTCATATTTCTAATACTTCTAAGCATGGAGAGCACTATCAAGTCGCCAAGAGTCAGAACAACAACAGTTCTAATAAAGAATGCAAAATGTGTTTTGAGTAATGCTGAATCTAGTTCAGCCCCTGAGATTATTTGTCAGTGAATTTAATAAGCCATATTGTTTTTAACAGAGAAGAAAATCCCACTAACAGAAATAAGGGTTGAGTTTCATCTTCTCTGTGTGTATATTATATCCCATGTTTAAAGTAGCTTTTCTAGCACAAAGGGGAAAAAGCCTTTATATTTATTTAAGTCACAAGATCCAGTAACACCCCCTTTTCTCCCCAATGGTTTTATTTAATGAAAGCTCAATATACCTGATGCTTTCAGGATTTTCCTCTGACAAAAACTGCCCAGGAAAGACCAGATCTGTTTTTCTAACACAACAATGTAATCTCTAATTATCAGGTGCAGCGTAGCCTTTCTCAGGCTGGTATCCTCTAAATATGTTAGACTATAACCCTCCCCATCACCCCAGATGGAGGTGATCACTGTAATGACTATATTCAACCATCTGGAAGCTAGTAGGTCAGGAAAAGGTAATGGAGATTCTCTGAAATAGGGGTGCCCAACCTTGGCAACTTTAAGACTTGTGGATTTCAACTTCCAGAATTCCCCAGCCAGCATGGTTAAGTCTGGCTGGCTGGGAATTCTGGAAGTTGAAGTCCACAGGACTTCAAAATTGCCAAGGTTGGACACCCCTGTTTTAAAGGGTGGACAACGCACCTGAACCTGAGCTTAATTATACATAAACTTAATCTTCTTCCAAATCCTTTTTCTTTTTTCTCCATTCGTTAGAACATGTGCTGTGTATTGTAATTGTCTGTATTAAAATTGGCCTTCTAACAGTCCAAAATGCTTGTAAGTGGCAAATGAAACAAATGAACCAAGCAAAATGAACAAATCACCAAACCCACAAAAATATTTCTAGAAAAAAATCTAGCCTGAGTCTCTGGAGTTACATCTTTCCTCCTAATGAAAAACTTAGTTTGTACCTGTGTGCACGTATATGTCGGTTCACGGCATGGGGAAAGTTATGCATATCTTGGGACATTGTATACTTATGGCAGTTTATGACTATTTACCTGTGAGAGCTTATTTTTTGTATCTATGCATGTTGATAAGACATGGAGTTTACCTTAGTTCTTGATGTACTGGTACTCTTAGGCTAAAACTTAAAAAAAAATTTGGCCGTGTTTAATGAATTCTTATGCTTTCAAGCTATAATTTCCAGAAATCTTCAGGAAATCGTGTGAAAATCCATGCTATGTAAGACTTTACAATACACTGGTTATTAATGTAGGCCCAAGTTGACAATGACAAAGCCAGAGTAGCAAACAGCATAGAACACCAGACTACAGCAACTTCTCTTTTTTCTCTCATGAAATAGTGTTGTATTCTTTCAGAAAGACAAGAATGTAATGATTGTTGGTCTGGCTCCCTTTTGAAATACAAATATCATTATTTTCCAGATTGTGATTTCAGTTAAGATTGTGATTTGAGTAAGAAATGCAGACCTTCAGGAAGAAGGATTGAAAAAGAGTCAGAGTTAAATGTGCAGTTAATTCCCATTGGGGACCTGCGCTCACTTTGAATTCTAAATGGAGAATTGTAAAACAAATTGTTCACAATCAAGAGGTCACTTGCCAGAGTTAGTAAGTATAAAAAAAAGGAAATGAAAATGTGCATTAAAATCTTCATATCCATCTGCAAAAGATATACTTTATTTACATTATGCAATTTTTTCATTGGGAACATAGATCTATGTTTTAACAAAAGAGAATTATTTTCCTCGCACAAAAAAAGAAGAAAGCTTCTTCATCTTCATGTATCATGGAGAAATGAACCTCTGGTTATTCTCTTACAGGAGGGGTGTCAAAACTCAAGGGAGGCGGGCTGGATCCGGCCCATGGGGTGCTTAAATTTAGCCCACGGGGCAGGCCTAGAAATCCCAAAGGACCAGCCCGCAGTGCCTCTGCCAGCCAAAACAGGCCACGGGGGCCCATTTTTATTAGTTGAATAATAAAAATACAATAGTATAAATAGCTTTTCTGCCTGGAAAAGCAATTTACTATTAAACAATGGGATATAAATTTAGAACTAAAAAGGTTAGTGGAGTATGAAGAATAAGTAATAAATCTTTGCCAGTAATATCTGTTAGAAGAGATTGCAAAATGGTTATAGTAAACAACTGTGGAAAGAAAGAAGGGAAAAATGCATCTTGAGCCTATGTCAAATGCCCACTGTGACTACACCCACCCTGGCCACACCCATCATGACCATGCCCACACCTGGCCACACACCCGGCCCTCCGAGGTCAAACACAATCCTGATGCGACCCTCAATGAAATCAAGCTTGGCACCCCTGTGTTACAGAATTGATTCCATGGGACAAACAAACTCTCCAAGGCTTTGTTTAAAATATAGGAATATAGATTTCCTTTTAGATCCTGGTTATTGGCAGTCTATTTCATAGAAGTAAATAGCTAGTCAGGAAATTAAAGCTTAAAATAAGACCAATGTTTGTAGCAGAAACCTTTCGGCTGCCTGCTCAGCCTTCACATTCCCTAGTTGTTCTGAATTCTGAGACCAAGCATACAAGATGAATAATCCTGGGTTCTACACGTAACTACAATCTTCAACAACTTCTACCTTTCCATTCTTGAGATGTTCATAATCAGACCAGTGTCCTGGGATAGCAGAAGCAGGACAC